GGCTGCAGGAGCTACTCATCAAATGATTCAACCTCATAAATAGATTAATATCTTTTACCTATAAAAACAACTTTTCTGATACAATGAATAGCACTATAATGTTGTTGAAGAATACAGCAAAGGGATGTTTGTATTTTTTTTTCATTTCTCTTAATAAACAGGTCTGTATAAGTGTTAAATATTTGTAATTAAAACCTTCAAGTATTTATACATGAATATTTAACTATGGCAGCATCTGAATATTTTTTTCTTATGGAAAGTGCATCTCTTTTTCTGAATAACCCCTTTTTACTTTTTGGTTGTGAAGCTATCATTTCTGTTTTTCATAAAAATACATTTAAATCTTTCTCTACAAAATGTATCCTGTCTGTCTGTAAGGCAAAGTTAGGAGTTTTTTGTGGACAGATGAGGAAGCAGAAGTATTGAGAGAGACCACACATACCTACAGTATTATCTGTATGTTAGTGAGAACCACTTCTGTATTTCTCGGGCATCTGACTTACCCATTTTTAGCCAACTGACCTTTCCCAGTGCTTGATGAAGAGTGGGGCATGTGTCAAAGTGACTGAAGCTCCAGTCTAGAATTATGATACTAAAGGATGGGGAATATCTTGAAGCTCTGATGAGACCATAAATGTTCCTAAGTTAGGGGTTTGCATGCCCTTTTAGTTAATTCGTGTTTTGGGAAGAAATCAGGGAACAAAGAGTAAGCTGGATAATCTCACTCTCATAACTACACTTAAATTACTGTGTATCAGCGGCAATGAACTCTTGTACGCCAAGCAGCCCGTATAGGCTCATGGCTTCATCCTTCAAGGTTAGAGTAGCACGTGATGCTGCATCTTGGTCTGCACCTTGTATTGGTTTAAGCTAAAAGTACTAGAGAAGGCATGTACTTGCCTAAATGGGGTTTCTCACTTGCATTTCTTAAATCAGATCGAACTTTTTAGTGACAAGAAGTATCTTCATTTTGTAAGCATGCCCTGTTTTCCAGGGCACTCTGTTTCTGGTTTAGGATCTTTGATACCTCAATAGAATGATGATACAAATACATTCTCAGGTTGGCTTTAAGCAGATGATGATGATGAGAGTTATTCTCAAATCATTGTTTGGAGAAAAGTATTAAAGTTACTGGTAAGTTTTGCAAATTTGAAGGTCTTCAAAAGCAGAAGGGATATTGTGAAGGCTAGTAACTAGTTCTTAAAAGTTATTCTGTTACATTGTGGCAGAAGAATTGAAAGAAACATAACTTGCAATTTGCCAATTTATGTTATAGAAAAATGTTTGCATGGGATTTCATTGTCAGGACATCAACTCACATGTGTAATGAGAAAAACAGTGGTGCATATGCAGTTCTATTAGAGTAGGGTCATAAATGTGTGTTTTCCCATACAGTATATAGGAAGTAAACTAAGAAATTAGCATTTCAGCAAGAATTACTTCGAAATAAAGCATGTAAGTTGAGTCCTTAGGGAAGAACTGTGCTACTGAAGCAAACTCAAAAGTAAAACCTATTTCAGAATTACTTTTTTGGATCCTCTTCCATTTGATTTGGCTCTCAAGCAATTCTTCCTCTTTTCTTTGATGCTTATGGAAGATAATACTTTGAATAAAGGCTTTCTTCTGTACCTGAGATGCTTCATAATGTTGATGCTTTACTGGAACTGTAATGAAATAATCTCTTAAGGATATTATTGTGGAAATAGTTAGATGTCCCCAGTTAATGCCTGAAGTAACAGCATTGCCCTGATTGGCCTGTATCCAAAAGTAGCTTGACACTAAGTTCTGCTCAGACAGAAGTTTGTCTAGTTTGCAGGAAGAACTTTTACAGGTAGCTATCTTTGCACAGGGATTAGAGAATGGGAGCAGGAGAACAAATTGTGTGATACATGTGTAGTAAACTAATAATGAGTTCTGGGTTGCTCTTGAAAACTTCTTGGTTATATACATCCATATGCTACTGTGTCTTCTGCCTGATATGGTTGCATGTGCATGGTGGCATTAATTGTTGAGTGGGCTTTTATGGAAAGCAGCCTCTAAATAGCTGATTCACACCCACCTAAAAATACCATGTATGAAGACATCTTCTGTTTGAAACCTAAGAGCAGTAGTAAAGCTTTCATGCATAAATATTTATCATAAATACTTGTTTCCCAGAAGGAAATGGACTCGAGGAGTTGTGTTCTTTGTGCTTCCATCTGTGCATTTTCCCTGAATCATTTCCTTTTGAACCTATTGAAAACTTAATTAGATTTGACAGGAAAGTTGTAGTTTAAATTTACTAAGCTTGTACATATTTAATGGAAACTCATGAGCATACAAGAGTGGGAAATTCAAAGTATTACCTTAAGGAAGGCAGAAGATGTAGCGTGAATTCACCACCTGTCTAATCTGCTTGCTGGTCTGCTGGCTCCTCAGCATGCAGCAACAGGCTGCCACAACACATGCGTTGTACTACCTTGTACAGACAGTGGAACCTGGAATGATACTTGCTGCCTTTTTTTCCCAGCCAGCGGTGAAGGTGCAGGGGCAGGAGATAAGGGTAGAGTGGGGAGGAGGACATGGTAGGAGATACGTAGGAGAAACTATATTGGGGGTTGGTAAAAGTGTTTTGGAAGGGGAGCACAGGAGATGTATGTAGCAAGATAGATCTCTGATATTGCTATGGGTGGTACAAAGTACAAAATCCATAGGATGACAGGCTTTTTCTCTTCACATAATGGCTTGTTTAGAATAAGCAGTCCCCTTGCAATGTATGTGCAGCTTATGAATTGTATGTGAAGTACATGTAAAACAAATAAGAAACTATCAAGAAATGAGGGAAAAGGTATACTTTCAACAGTTCCAGTGAAAAACAGTTGAAGGAAATGCACTCGTATAGGTTGTAGGGTGTCTACAGTCAGTGCAGATGTGACTGCAGTTGTGAGTGCTACTTTTAATGTACATAATACGGGTAAAAATGGCAGTTCCGTCTAAGTGGCACACCTCTGATTGTACAGGTTGTACAAACCTGTAATGGACCCTAAAAGCCTATGTGGTTGTCTGGCCCACTGTTGAAGCTCATGCTGCCAACTGCGTAGATACACCTACCATTAAAGTAATGCAAGCACACCTATTTGTGCTGTGAATGCATCTTCATTTTGCTGTACAGCTATCCTGCTGGGGTAGTGTTTACCTACAGTGTTTGTCTTAGAAAACCTGCCTTGTGCTTTAAGTCTTCAGAACGCAATGGAAGTTCACTCTGAGCAAAATACTGTTGTCACCATGCTAGTTTTGGAAGCTGGGCTATAGATAGTGTTTTTCACTTTGGACTCCAAAGTTGTTATGAGAGCCATCATTAACTTGTCATCAATGGTTCTCAGTCCTGAGACTGTACATTTTTTTGGATTTTCACTAGTAATTATTTTTATATCAAAAAAAGGTCCCAGACAGTCTGTGGAACTTGAACTAAGTTGCAGTATTCTTAAATTCTGTACTGCTTCTGACTTTTTGCAAACATGACTCCATACAACAAACACCAAATTGTCCTACTATTTTTAAAATTGATCAGAAAGTCTTTTCTAAGTTTTTGTTCATGTAGATCTGAAGTTGTCTCCTTTAATCTTAGAGCATCTGTCTTTCAAGGGTTAGTAGAGAGCTGATGTGGTAAGGAAGGCTACCACTATTAGAAACAACAAAATTTGTTTCCTTACCTTCTTATGAACAAATGTGGGAGGATGAAAATGCTGAGATGCTCTTTTGCTCCTCTCTCCTGCAAAATAAGTTGTTTATCTTAGATATCAGGTACTAGGAAAAAGTTAAGAGGGTTGTTGCTATGGCATAGCCATTGTGCTATTACCACTCTGCTTGTTTATGAAGGAAATAACATCTACACGTTAAACAAACTGACCCTGCTGGTTCCAGTGTTTGCTATTTTACCTGAATTGGTTTGAACATACAGCGCTTTCAGTGTAGTTGGTCTGATAATGAACTGTTCTTATTATGTATTGTCACTTTCCCCAATAGGAGCAAGGCAGAGACACCTCTGTGGTTGTTACAGAAGAAGTAAAGCATATGATTGACCACTGTGAGAAAATTCGAGCTGTAGAAAATTTGATTACAGCTGCCAGCCCACAAAATGTGCTGTGCTTTGCAGCCTATGGACTTTTCTAAGCAGTATATACAACACAAAAAAGAAAAACAAATCTTTCTTTTGTGCCATCATATGGTGTCTCGTCAGTGTGGTGTTATCTGAAAGTTCTATTCCTGAATCCATTTTTCATGACTGAGATTTCTTGTACCTATACTTTCTCTTATACCTCTCTTACCCTTGCCGTTACTGCATTGATGGACATTGCATCTAACGGGGCAGTAGCTGGGAGAAGTAGAGCACTTCAGAAATCTATTTTCTAAGCATTTCTATCAAACAAAGCTGGAAAGAAAAATTGCTTTTTGAAATATGAATTAGTGGAATTAACTGTGTAATGCAACTGATCTTTGTAGTACAAATTTATTATTAAATTATAATAGTAAATTCTGTTTTACAGGAACACAATCTCAAATTTGAGACTGGGAATGACCAATATCTCTAACTGAATGTGTAATTTTCAGTAAATAAAGACCCCATACAAAAACTGAGAAAAATCATAAACTGTGCTAATGTCTTTCAGGGATAAAATTCCCCAGCCATCAAGAAATATAACAAGGGTATTCTAGCCTACATTTTGTTCTGTTTTAATAATGTCCCAACGGCTGCTCCTTGGTGCCAACTTTGATCTCCGTTTCTGCATCAGGAGACAAAGACGGTTTTGCCCAGTGGGGTTTAATTTATGCAAATCAGCAGATGGCTTTGCAGGAATATGATTTGTTGTGTTTCCTAAGTGGATGAGTTTGCTTTTTTTAAATACCCTGGCAGCAACAGATTTGTCAATATCTTGCATTATATTTTTGAAATGGCCTTTCAATTACTTTAATTGTAGTTTGTTTAATTTCTTTTTTTCCCTCCCTCCTTCCCTCTATAGATTCTGGGACTTCTCCAAGCCTAACCCTTTGCTGGAAACAGTTGAGCATCATACTGAATTTACATGTGGACTGGATTTAAGTCTTCACAACCGTGGTCAGGTAAGGGCTGGGATGAATTTACTTTTCCCTTGCCTATTATAGCCACTGTAGTCATGGCTGGACTGCAGGACTCAGATCCCGAATAAGAGCCACCAGATTGCAGAAAGCTTCTGGAAGTGAGTCTGTCTGAATGCTTATTAAATAAACCTCACTTCAGGTCCATTTTTGTTTATAAAGCAGTTACTTGCGTTGGGTAGGAGAGGAGGGCAGGACAGACAGGATTGCAAAATCAGATAGCTGAAAGCCATGGTGAGCTCAGGGAAAACGAGATAGTTTTGTTTCAGAAGGAAGAGTAATAGAGAAGGGCCTAGAATGCCAAGCTGAGATACAGAGCTTTCTTCCATCTACTTAGAATGTCAAGTTAAACATTGGTAGTGTCACACATGATACCTAGACCTGGTTTGTCATAATATTTGTAGCACTAGAAGAGGCTTAATATGTAGTTAGAATTTTAAAACCCTCAGCTATTGACGTGAATGAGTGGAACCTATTTTATCGGGGGCACTTATTTACGTACTGGTTGTGGTGGGATTCTCCTCTGCTTCTGTTGCTACAATTGTTTCTGTTTTGTGAACAGAGGATTGTTGTTTGTAGTATGAACTGTTTTTTCAGGCAAGAAAGGCAGAAAAACTAAAGCTAATTATTTGCTTTAAAATGAGAAAGCCTATAGCTTTCACACAGAAATCACTGTCACTGAGTTAACTAACTAATGCACTATTTAATGTGCCACAGTTATCATTTGCATCCAGGTTCCTTTCTAATTCACAGTGAAATTAATTTTTTTACCCCTGATAAAAATGACTTGTAACATCTGCGTTGAAATTCTGATTGGACAAAGCAAAAAAAAAAAACCATCATAATTTCTGCTACTGATAAAAGGACACAGGAGAAAGGTGTAAGTTTGGCAAAATACCATTCTAGCCAAATGCTAGCTTGTTCCTGCCTGGTTGCTTGTTCCCTTAATTCTGTTGCCTCAGAGGTGCTGCAGTAACTGTTCACAAGGCCATGCTGTGAACCACATAGGGGAATTTGTAAGGCTGAAAAAAATTTCTCAAGTTTCAGGTTGTTTTTCATCGGGGCAGGGCAAGAATAGCTTAAAGGCCAGTTGCTGGGAATTATAACTTCATCCCAAGTGAGTGCATAGGTATGATTCTGGCTGAATTGGGTCCAGAGGGAGCAGCAAGCAGAGCGTAATACATTAGGGCCTTACAGTGCTAAATCACTGCATGCTCTGAGCCCAGTTTAGCTTTCCATGAAGTTGGTGTGGGTTTTGCCATGGATCTGAATGAGGTGAGAAGATTTTTCTTTGTTTTGTATTGAGGATGTGATTACATCTTGATTATAAGCCTGTTGCATAGAGCCCTGTGTGTTACAGAATGGGTCTCAGTGGATAGGGTTTCTGTCTGGCTAGATATGACTTCTTTTTGTATGATTTATCTGTCAGACTTGGAGTTGCTGCTATGTGGATATTCTTGCTTCTGTAACTGTAATGTATGGAATAGCCTTTTTGGAACAAGGCCAAGTAAATGCTCATTGATGATAGATAATGAATTGAAAGCAAACAGCTGCATGTGCACTTGTATGTTGGAAAAAGGAAAATGGTGGTGTGCATAGCCATCTACATTAGGACATTGGTGCATCCAGGTATTTTTTTTTCCACACAGAAATCCTGCAAGTCCAATGTTGGACTTAATGCACAAAATCTGTAAATCTGTGGTACATATCCATATACACTGCATGCCAATGTGCCTTCCAGACAGAAGTTTGGCATCTGCAACAGCTTTAATATTCCTCTGTTTTTTTTCTGTTGAGTTGATTTAATGTATTGTGAGGGTTGGATATCACAGCAATGCAAAACGTAAATGTTCTGGTTTTTAAAAGAAGTTTAAAAACCTGTGATAGAATTAAACTGTAACTACAAGATAAAGAATGAATGCTTACTGAATAGTTGCTTCCAGTATAAGCACTTGCAGCCTTTCCCTGGCTTCTACATCGATCCAGTGAAGATTATTTGCTTAAATTTTATGCTGCTGTTCCCAATATGTGGGTTGCCTTCATGTCTGCTCTCTATCAAGACCTGATAATGAGCCCCATTCATTGTTGTTCTTCACGCATTTGTAAGATTTGTGATTTTTCACTGTGTGCTTTGTAAGGAATTACAACTTGAGATTTGAACTGCTTCTGTCCTCCATGCATGCAGGGTAATTTATTCATAATGGACAAGCTATTCATTTATAGTCAAATTAAGTACCATTCTGGTCATTAACCTTTGCTTTCGTTCTTAATGATATTTTTGTTGTCTAGCCAGATATTTTCTTTGGCTTTGCCCAATGAACTTCAGCATTTTTGAAGTATCTTTTACATGTCAAGGAAAAAAACAGTCTGTACTTTGAAAAAGTGTTCAAAATAGAAACTGTGATTAAATATCTGATCTAGGAATTAGAAGACATTCATGCAGAACTGATTGAGCTTTGAACAGAATCCACAGACAGGGAGTAGGTACATGCAGGCAAGCTGGTTCTTGTACAGTGTCCTGCTAAGGGGAGGCAACATGTGGGAAAGAAATCGGGTTCTAAGGAATGGGTCCCAGGTTGTGAAGGTAAGTATTAGCTAGATGACACAGAAAACTCCTTTGTGCTTAATTAAAATTCTGATACCTATTTTGAGGTACCTGCCTCTACGTAAAGTAAGTATTTGTTGAAAGCTTTGCATTTTAATAAAATCAACTGTTGTTTGGTTTGGGGTTTTTTTCCACCATAATGTTGGTGTCAGGTTCACAGCAATTTCAGACAACTAACAAACTTTTGGGTGCATAGAAAAATGTGCATTTTACAGTGCAAAGCATTAACAGAAATGATCCTCATGATATTCAGGGTATTTCTCTGTTAAACTGCAAGTGCTAATGTGAGAGCCTGCAAGGCAGGTTGTCTAGGAGGAAATGCTCCCAGCTCCAGCTTTCAGCCAAAATAGCTTTGGCACGCACAAGAACAGTGACAAGACCCTAAGCACCAAAAATCTTTTGAATTGGTAATGCTGTACAGTATTAAGAACTGAACAAATCCATTTACCTTGTCAGCAGTATTAAGAGTATGCAGTTTTTTAAACCAGCCATGATAGTTCTTTCCAAAGTTTTGGGATAAGAAAAACAATTAAAGCTTGCTCCTTTCTGTATATATATGCTGGATAGGCATGGGATGTATGTAGAGAATATGAAAATGGTAATCAGCTATATACTATTCCTCGCTAGGGGCTGATAATGCTAGACCATATATTGGAATTGTACTCTGTAGCTCATCGGATTTCTTATTTCTCTCCTGATATTTACTTTCCCTGTATGTGATCTGTGAATGTTCTGATGAATTAAAATACAATACTCCTTTAAGCTTAGCTCTTACTGGGATTTTGCTGTGCTTACCTGCAGCATGTAAGCATGACCGTAACTTCTTTTGGTATTATTTGTGCAGCTTTATTTAAAAGCAGCTTTGTTCTTCTGTTGTAGGTTGAATGTGATATGGCAGTCATGAATTAATTTTAAATTAATCCATCAATAACACAGATAAAAAGTACAGATACTGTGAACATTCACTTCTTCTTGTCTTGATTCTGAAATTATTTCAATAAGTATATAAAGAATAGAAAACATATGTACCATGAATTTCTTTAAATCATGAACAGAAATAGCCACCCCTTTCTGTTATAGTTCTAAAGCTGTATTTTGCTTAACACAAATGTAAGTAAAACTGAAGCTCTGAATTTTATCTGAAAACCTTTCTCAGCCTATACCTCACCTCTGTACTTTTACGCTATGAACGATGACATTCCTAAATTGCAAGGATACGTGATTTTCAATGGAACTGATGGCAAGTGGTGTAGTGGCTTAGAACACTTGATACGTGAAGAGCACATTAGACATCCGTGACATGCCAAATCAGAACAGGACTTCAACCATATACCAAATGGTATGTGTTGAATGGAAGTGACACTTCAACCAAATGTCAGTTCTCTAGTCCAAAATCATCTGTTATCTGAATGTGTGTTAAAGTCTAGGTTTTAGAATAATTTATGTACAACACAAATAGTGATCACTTATGATTTTCTTTTACTGTGGTTATGTGTGTTTATATGGTAATGACACTAAAAATGGGCAGCTAGCTGTCTAAATAGCTGTTTGTGTGAACATAGTTTAGGAGGCAAACTTGTTTTCTCTAGCCCTCTGTGTGGCTGCACCTCCTTGTGTAAATATTCCCCCAGAGTAGATGAGTTCACATAAAACTGGTTTCTCTTATTTCTTCAAAGCACCTGGAGCTCTGGGATGTATTGATGCAAGAAAGGGCCTGGCCACAATTATTCTGTATTGCATTTGGAGATGGTGAGAGGTGATACAGCAATACACACACGATACCAAATAATACAGAGACATTGATAATAGCAGTGCAGCACCCATTAAAGTAGTCTTGTGCTCTGTGTTACACTGTCCTTATGATCCAGCTTCCCTGAACCTCTGCTTGCTTCTCCGTAAAGCTGCGGGGTATCACCAGCGTGTTGTGCCATACCACAGTCTGCTCCTTCCTTCCACCTGGCCAGAGGCAGTTAGAACTGAGCAGAGGTGCCTGTTTTGTAGCATCTGTCTATTGATGCCATGAAACATTGCTGTACTGATGGTATCATGACTTTTCTTACGGCATCAGTATCACTAAAATTTTAAAAGCTGTAATTTCTTAGTAGTTGGAGGGAGGTCGTAGCCAAACTGTATACGCTTGAGCTGCATCCCCTGAAGGTAACTGAAATCTAGTTCTAAATTCTTCCAGCTTTATGGAGAAATTTGTAATCATCTGTCAAGTTTCGGTGTACAGGTTTTTCTGCTACCTGTTTTCTATGTGCAGCTTGTGCAGCGTGCCACATTAGCTATGCCAACACAGCAGACAGGAGAGGGGCTGCTGAAGTTGGCTTAACCAGTACACCCAAATATAAATGCAGAAGATGTCTTTAGTGAGGCTGTC